GGGGCTCGACTTCTGCTATTGTTATTTAGATGATTTTTTAATTTTTTCTAAGGACGAGGAACAACATGAACAACATTTGCGTATTATATTTCAAAAATTAAAAGAATATGGTATGCTAATTAATACGTCTAAGTGTGTTTTCGGTGTTCGGGAAGTGTCCTTTTTGGGATACCACATCTCTGCATCAGGCACCAAACCACTAGACACTAAAATTGAAGCCATAAAAAACTTCCCATTGCCCTCCAATGTTCGTCAGCTTCGACGTTTTCTGGGCATGGTAAATTTTTATAGGCGATTCTTACCACGCGCCGCGGAAATCCAGGCACCGCTTAATGCCTTGTTAACAGGCGTAATAAAAAATAACCAGCCAATTTCTTTGTCGGGCGACTCTTTAAATGCGTTCAAAGCATGCAAAGAAAGCCTTTCGGAGGCTGCCTTACGCATCCAGACTGCCAAGCAAAATTAGCCTTGGTGACTGATGCTTCAGATAAGGCCATCGGAGCTGTCATACAACAGTTAAAAGATGACTCGTGGCAGCCCTTAGCGTTTTTCTCCCGAAGGCTGAGCACTGCTCAAACTAAATATTCTCCTTACGATAGAGAGCTTCTAGCAATTTACGAAGCTATTAAATATTTTCGCCATATGTTAGAAGCAAGACATTTCAGGTTTTTAATTATGGCAATAACAGAAGATTATTATTAAAAATAAAAAGATGAGTAAATTATATGAAAATATGATTATCCCAACACTAATGATTCTGATAAATCCAGGATTATGTTCTGGGAGCAGTAACCAAAATGAAATGCTCTAAATGCTGGAGATTTGGGCATAGCCAGGTGAGATGTCCGTCGGATAACGTAACGTATCCAAAATGTGGTGAGAAACATGCTAATTGTAATACACAAATTTATAAATGTGTAAATTGTCAAGGTAGTCATATGGCATTAAGTAAACTCCTATGTCCAATATATTTGAAAGAGAAAAGAATTCGGGAAATTATGTCTGAATTTAACTGCACTTACAGAAAAGCGCGCCTTATTTATGTACCGCAATCACCTACTTGCGAAGGTTATGATAAACGAAGAATGATAAGTACTCCGAAAAATACACCTTTAAATCATGCAAATGATAGTGGACTTAATAACTACTTCTCACCTCTTCTAAATTTAGAAGAACAACAAGCTGAAGAACGTTCCACCTATGCAAGCGTGTTAAAAATTAAAGAAAATAGACATGTCAATAATAACACTGAAAACAAATTTAAGGAACCCACTAAGTCAAAAAAACATAGTGACGGTTTAGGAGGAAATAAAGAAGTACAATCATCAAGTCAGCGAGTTATAGAGACTTCTTCCTATCAAGTTCGTGATGAAAATCAAACTAATGACGATGTTAGAGTGACTTTCACTGAGCTTCTTTTAAGACTGAAAGAAATCGTTTTTAGAAACGATATATCTATGAAAGACAAAGTTCATAATGTTCTCAAGTGTTGTATTCAATGGTTGATATTATTAGCTGTAGAGAACGTTTCCGAATGGCCTGTTTTAAAACTTATTTTAAAACTAATTCATATCAATAAGATACAATGGAACGCACAAAGTCTTAAACCCAAATTACTTAGTTTAGAAAATTTATTAGTACAAGAAAATATCCACATTGCTTCCATAAGTGAAACATGGTTAAAACATAGTAGTTACTTAAAAATTAAAGATTACAATATATTCCGTTGTGATCGGAATGACGGTTATGGTGGCTTAGCATTAACAGTACATCGATCTATTAAATCTCAAAAACTCGAAATACATAGTCCTAACCCTGGCGTTCAGATATTGTGTCTTAAGCTTTTTAATTGTCAAGATATTGAACACATTGTCTCAGTATATTGCCCACCTTCAGTTAACACTAGCATACAAGACTGGGACTCTATTTTTTCCTTATTTCGACAGAAGACAGTAATTGTTGGTGATTTTAATGGCCACCATTCTAACTGGTCAAGTAAAACAGATTCGAGGGGCATACAAATATTTGATGCTTTATCCGAACATCATTTTGCAATATTGAATGATGGTTCTCCAACAAGGATAAAACTAGTGGAGGGAGTTTTACATCGGTACTCTCCTGATATTTGTTTGGCATCTTCAGACATTGCAATAAAATTTGACTTTAAAGTTTTAAATGAGACGTTGGGTAGTGATCACTGTGTTTTAAAGATTACAACGACCATTAAGAATTATTCCTCTCCAATTTACATTAAAAATTTTAATCATTTCCTATTTTTAGATGATCTCCAAAAAACATATGATACGTTTTTAGATTATATTAATACTGCTAGTGAATTGCACATTCCTTGTCACTTGGTTAAACCCAATCCTAGCAATAAATTTGAACCAAAACCATATTGGGATTCAAACTTATCAAAAGCAGTAGCAGAACGACGCTTAGCGTTGACTCGCTTTAGACGCAATCCCACACCCCAAAATCTTTGTCATCTTAAGGATAAAATTCATTATGCGCATTATATAATACGTAAAGCTAAAATCAGTAATTTTCAAAAGTTTTGTTCATCCATAGACCGTTCTACTACTTCCAGCGATCTTTGGCGAAAAATTAGATGGGTAAAGGGATACAAATCACCTCGGCAATATATTGATCAAGATTTAGCAGTTGATTTACTACATAACTTAACTCCAGATTCAGTTTCTCCAAAATGTCCTAATTTTATTTCTTATAATAGCCAGTTAACTTCTGTTATTTCAATGGCTGAACTAGAAAACAGTATACCAAATAAAAATACAGCCCCCAGTAGCGACGGAATTACTTATTTAATGATTAAAAATCTTCCAGAAAATGGCAAAGAAATCTTATTAATGTTATACAACAAATTTTTTGAACGTTCCTTTATACCTAAACAATGGAGAGATATAGTTATTGTTCCTATTCCGAAACCTGGTCATAGGCATGTAGATGTGTCATCTGTACGTCCTATTTCACTAATTTGTTGTTTATGCAAAGTGTTACACAATATATTATATAAAAGGTTGGATTGGTTTTGTGAAAGGAATAAGTTATTATCTTCTCATACAACAGGGTTTAGAAAATCGTATTCTTGTTATAATAACCTAACTTGCCTTATATATAGAATTTTAGGAGGATTTACTAAGAAGAAAACGACAATTGCGTGTTTTATTGATATAAATAGTGCATACAATAATGTGGATTTAGTATCTTTAGTTAAAAAATTAGACGAAATAGGAGTCGGGCATAAATTTTGTTACTATATTTGGAATTTTTTGGAACACCGTAACTTAAAAATCCCATTAGAAAATGCAGAAGTTTGCAGAAAGACTAACTTAGGTTTAGCACAGGGTGACCCTATGTCTACCTTATTATTTAACATTGTTACCCAAAAGCTTTGCAAAGATATCACTACCATATTTATATCGCAATACGCCGATGACTTCGTTCTTTACACAACATGTAATAATGTGACAGCGGGAACTCAAAAATTACAAGAAGGATTAAATAAATTAAATAATAAGTTTTTAATAGTTTACATTCGCTCAGCCACCCAGGCGCTAATGCAACCGCTAAACTAGTGGCGGAACGTTTCGTGTGGCCGAACGTTAAAAAAGACTGTCAAGAGTGGTCAAAAACTTGTTTGTCGTGCCAACGTTGTAAGTCGGCATGTTAACGCACCGGTAGGCACATTTAAAATACCTCGCGCAAGATTTAAGCAAATCCACATCGATCTGGTAGGGCCTTTGCCATTGTCAGATGGTTACCGCTACTGTCTGACGTGCGTTGATCGATTCACAAGATGGCCCGAAGCCGTTCCGATTGCTGATATAACAGCGGAACCGGTTGCGTACGGTAATAATAAAACGATTTAAATTTTTAAAATTTGTGGCTTAGTGTAGCACTCTGTGTTACAAACTGTTGAAAAAAAAACTCCCAAAGTAATTCAAAAACCTCCTAAAATTCACTGTTTTCAAACTAAAATTTCCTAAATGTAAAAAGTCACCTTTTCTTTAAATTATCTATCTAACAAGAGAGAATAATTATCGGAAAAAATTAATTATCTGAGTGATCAAAACAGTTTTATTTAAAAATTAATTTAAGTAACATACGGACCTTGAACATTGAAAAATATTTATACAAATTAAATTAGTGACGCTATACTTAATTTCATTATTTTTAAGAGTAAATAATGGGAATAAGTATCATTCAATTAAAAAAGATTTGAATTAAACATACTTTTAATCCATTGTCTTTTTCCCACTTAGCAGCATATTTTGAATGTAATATATAGTATCTTAAATAAGTAGACGTATATTCACAATAAGAGTTTATGGCGGAACAATTTAAAATACTACATAGGCCAAGCAGCCAGTACCATTATATTATATTTTGTGTTTAAAATTGTTTAATTTTTTTTCAATGGGAATAAAATTTTATTCCTAAAAATATTCCCCAAACATTTCTCCCCCTAAAAAACTTCCATTGTAAATATTTTCTTCCTAAATTTAGGAAGAAAACTCCTAAGTTGGCAATCGTGGTAGCACTTAATGTCTCCAATAGCGCCAATACAAAAAAGTCAACAACGCTACGCTATTCATATTGAAATATTATGGACTTTAAATTTTATATCGATTATAAATCGAATTGTTTATATTTTAAATTTTTTTCAACTAAGCTAAACTAGATCCAACATTTATTATTATTTACTAATTATTAGTCCGACCTAGATTATTAGTATGACGTCGCCTGCTTCGTTTATTTATTATGTTGGATGTACTGTGTATTCATGTTTTTGAAGTAAAATAAATAAAATGGCAGACTTTCTAAAAGTAACGAGTTTTAAGTATATTATAAAATGAAGGTTCCCCCCCCCCCCCCCCCCCGGGGGAGCAGCGAGGTGCAAAGTACAACAATTCAATATACGTCTCAACTTCAACGGTTAAGTGCACCGCCATTGTCTAGCCAGCTCGTTTGTCACGAAGATGGATAAAAGTAAGTAGGTACTTTCATATTTTTTAGCCTTTTTATTTATTTAATTAATTATTAATTTAATTTATTTCATAAATTTCAATTTTATTTTATTGTCCTTTTACTGCTTAGTTATTCTTTTTAACTACAAGTGTATGCTAATTTTATTTTGTTATTTAAGTGACAATTTTGAATTTTGTAAGACTGCATTGTGTCGCCGATAAATTGTTTTCAAAATTTAGTGAAAAAAAAAAACTATTTATGTTATGTAACAACATAAAACAATAGTTCACTTAATAAATAAATAAACCGTTTGTGTTAAATTTGGTAAAGTAAATAGGTAATTTATTAACAACATTTCGTATTTTGACTTATTTTAGGATCAGCAATGAAGCGTCGTCACTCGCCTGATGTTTTAGAGGATTCGGAGCAACCAGTGTCCCCCTCCGTGCTTCAATGTAAACAAGATACAGTAAAAAGACATAGACCTGAGTGTTCACACTGCAATGCGATCAAAAAAGAAGAAACCGACCGAAGAAACGATATTTTTGGTTTGCTGATAAGTGAGGAACTGAAAAATATACAACCTTGTATGAGAGCCAGAGTTTTTGCAAGAATTTTAATATTTCTCCACTCCATAGAAGGGAAACACAGTGCAGAAGTCCCTTTGGCAGACTCTGAGCTGCATAATTAGAAGAAGTGTGTTTTTTATATTTTTATTTTTTTTTATATATTAAGGCTTACCAACTAAATAAATACAGAACATTGAAATGTTAATATGTTTAACTTAATACTAAAGTCGTAAACAATATATGTACATGTTTAAATCTCTTAAAAAGATACCACACCAAATAAAACAAAAATAAACGAAAATACCCTCATTTCTTAGTTTGTCCGGGCCCTTAGTTTGATACAGAACGTGAACGTTAGGGCGACTATAGCAGCCCATACAAAGAACCGGGGAAGATACTTTTAAAAACGTAAAATAATCACATTACATCGTAAATGCGAACCCAACAACCACTTGAAAACAGTTTTTGTAAACAATTTTTTTTGAAGGGTAGCCGTCGCCAGATATTCTGTTCTACCCACCAAAAGACGCGTTATTTAATCAGGAACCATCTTTTTTAGCGATATTGAACCACTACGACAATTCTATGGAGAAAATTACTTTTAAAGTTAACAAAGTGGTTGGGCTGCCATAGTCGCCCTAACGTTTGACGCTTAAAAAATTTGGGCTGCCGTAGTCGCCCTAACGTTTCAGCGGATAGTACACTAACGTCTTTTCACTGCCCTGTAGGCGAGTTAATATTTTATAATATGCGAACGTTGTGCCTATGTCATGTTGTGAGTTGAAACAAACTAACGTGGTGCCACTGTTTCTTACGGTCTAAGATAGCTAATGTCGTGCTACCTCTATGGTGTTTGTAATTGTATTTATATTTCTATTACCCCCGGTCTTGGATAATTCCTACACAGGTAAGCAAACTCCTTGTATGAGTACTATAAAGTTCGGTTTTTTTATATGGTTCTTTTCGTCTTGGTTTACTGTCAATAATACGTAAGATCTGTTAAGTTCTCTTTCCTTGGACAAACCCTGAGTTATAGTTTAACATGTTTATTTAGTATTATGGCCCCCTCCCCCTACGAGGCCATTGAGAGTTCAACCTTCAATACCAAAAATTATGTCATCTTTATATAGGCGTGCTGCTAATACATCTAGTAACTGTGTATTTGATAATTGTTTTGAATCTGAACGTTTACTCGTACCGGATTGTATAAAGAATCTTTTATTGTATCGACGTAAGTTTTATGTACCAAATGGTGCACGTGTTTAGAGATACCACAGGGATCATGGTGTGTGGAGTGAATTAACCTCTCAGTTGAGAGATTTTTAGTGGTATACAATTCGATATGATAATGAATATAATGCAAGAAGCAACCAATTACCAATTAGATTTTTCTAATATTTTGACTATGCCTTTACATTTATGTAATTATTGGATCGGTATGGACTCCAATTTTTACCATTTATTAAACTGCATTCCATCATTACAAAGACAAGTACCAAATGCCACAATTGCTTTATCTATTTATATTTAGTTAAATTAAACGAGCAATTCTTGTATATATATATATATATAATCGGAATCTCGGAATCGGCTCCAGCGATTTTCATGAAATTTAGTATGTGCGTAGATTCGTGGGCGAAAAAACGATCTAGCTAGGTTTTATTTTTAGAAAATGTCCTTTTATCCCTGTTTTCAGGGAATGAAAAATATCATTCGAATATGACAGTAAATTTCGCCGCAAAAGCAAATGTTATAATAGCTCGGTCGGTAATCGGGCGGCCCCAAAACAGACGGCCGGGGTTCGTATCACGATCATTTAGTCTTTTTTTAAACTTTTTTTCGATTCCAGATCATTTTTTTCTTTATTTTTAATTTTTTTGTCGATTTGTTATTTTGTTACTTTTTTCCCTTTTTTTTAAAGTTATTTCTTTTGTAAAAAACGCCACTTTATATTTTCTTATTATTAGGTCGGTAAGATCGAAAAATATTACGCATATTTCATTACTCAGTAATTTGTATCTAAATGTAATTTCCAAAACACACGATTTACCAAAAAAAACAAACCGAGCAAAGCTCGGTCCTCCGGGTACTTTAGTTAAACTAAGAACTGGTGACAGCAATGAACGGTTTGCTGCCCTTTTATAATGAATCTAGAACCTCTCTAGAACATTTCATGACAATAGCTAGAAATTGCTTAATAAATGATTTTGTCCCGTTAAATTTGAAATTTAATCATATATCTAAGTAAAAGAAGTTGCATTTAGGAATAAATTAATACCTTTTTAAATTAGGATTACCAAACTTTTTGGTACTTTACTAATAAATATAAAACCAGCAATTGTAATCTTTGATACCACTTATGTTTCTCTCCAGAGTAGCTCTAATTACTTTTTTCAAAAACAAACATTTAGTTTACAAAAATTAGACAATTTGGTAAAACCGTTCATGATTGTGTGTTGTGTTGGCCACATTGAAGAATGTCTGGGACCATACAAGGCCACTATTAATGATACTGCCATTACAAGTTTGAACTTAAGGAATGAGGAGTCACCTTTATGATCATTTTTTAGAAGAGGTGATATTTTTATAATTGATAGAGGCTTTTGTGACGTTATAAATGATCTCCAAGTTCATGGTTTTATTCCACATATGCCAGTCGCTTTTGGAAAATGAGCACCAATTAACAACCCAACAGGCAAATAATTCGCGCTTAGTAACCATGTGTCGCTGGGTTGTGGAATTAGACAATGGTAGAATGAAGAGAGATTTTAGATATTTTCATCAAGTTTTTAATAAGAGAGCTGCTATGCACCAATGGGATGATTTTAGAGTTTCTTGTGCTTTATTTAATAAGTTTCATATTGTTATAAATGACCCACCAGTGGCTCTTGAATAAGTGAAAATAGCAAGAAATAGACTAATGCCAGTAAACCATTTATCAATATATGTTGAACAAGAAAATCCGAATAGAAGGAGAGTAATTTCTCAAACTATTGATGGCAACCATCCTCATTTAGAAGCATTTCCACAACTCACAATTGATGATCTTGAACGGCTTGCTCTAGGTACCTATCAGATAAAACAGGCACGTTCTTACTTTGGAGAACATGTTCGTCAGTCAGGAATGTATACGATTGAAATAAATAAGGAAATAGATAATGGTATTTTAGGTTTCAATACTTATCTGTTAAAACCCGACATGTAAACAGTCGTACATATTATACGTATTTATTAATAAGTAAAGAGTTCGAACGAAGACGGGTTCTACGGGTTCGAACGAAGTCTACGCAAATATCGTACGCAATTAAAAGTTACTGTAACTAGAATTGAGAACTTTACAAATGACCCAATTTCCATGTCCTCTGCTAGTGTCGAAATGATTCAAGCGCGTTAAAGAATATGAAAAAACACAATTGGATATTTCATGTATTGATGAGGATGATAAAGAGAATGTTGAGATGTATAATTTTTTTGCTATTATTTCAAAATTAAATGCAGTTTTAAAGAACTTAAGCACAACTGACGTGTCAGATTCTACTAATGTTTCAACTTCAAAATTACCGAGTATTGATGTTCCTATTTTTAATGGTAAAGACTTCACAAAGTACACTCCATTTATGGATTTGTTTACAGCTGTTATTCATAGAAACAAAGCACTCTCAGATGTGCAGAAGTTATTTTATTTAATTAAATTTCCGATGATGCTTTATCAGTAATTGTCAACTTGCCATTGGTCGATAAGTCATATAAAGAAACACTTGTACTCCTTAAGAAGCGGTTTGATAACAAGGCTAGGTTAATTTTGAACAGTCCATGCAAAAGGGTACTGCGGCCGCTATACGGTCATTTATTTCACATATTCAACAGCAACTTTATGCACTAAAGAACTTAGAGCAGCCTGTCAATGAATGGGATATGCTATTAATTTCTATTTAAATAAGCAAATATATGCTGGTTTCCGGCGTGCTCCTCTACACCTACTTATCAAATAATCTCAAAATATCAAAATATTATCAACTTACGTAACTGTGCGGGGGATTCTTTGTGTAACAACGACTGGATTGAAAATATTGATTTGAAATGATTATGTACTAATAAGTTCGTATTATCGAAACGATTCATTAATAACTCCCATGCTACTTCATGGTTGTCGGCAGAAAATTCTAGTGGATCGATAACAGATTTAGCGGTACCCGACAACGACGATTTTAAATAATGAAATTTTTGAATTTGCGAAATCTCGTTTTACAATTATGCATTAGGGACACAAAAGTATCACGGAACTCTGACCGACGTTCATATGAACCGTCGAAGCAAGGGATGGATATAGTAGGTAATTTAACAGCGATATTAATTATTGCCGGCGACTCCGACCTTTCATCACAACTAGTTAAACACTCGGCTAAACCTAAAATAAGATAATATTCACGTTCAAACATTTTGAGCGATTCTAGCTGTTCTTCCATCTCCGATTCGTGACTCATGTCCTCAATTTGAGTCTGAACATGGTTGAAATTGTCCATAAGATTTTGAGACCCTACTATGCGTAATTTAAGCTCTACTCGCTGATGAGCATTTCATACCTTCGAATGAACTAACCATGAAATTAATGCAATTTTATACCCTCGAATGAACTTCAAAGATCCGCGTTTTTTCTTCAAAATATTGATATCTAATTTATGTTCCGGTGTAGCCATTGTGTGGGCAAGAGTAAGCAGTACTTACAGTTAAACTGATGTAGCGATATGAAGCGTAACTATGTCCGCTACCCTTACGGACAACTAGGCAATGCACTGGAATTTCTAGAAAGGCACAGCATTACACAGGTGGAGAGGTTTTAAGGATACTGGTTAGCACTGGTCCTTCAGAACGAGTTTTTTTTTCTAAACCTGCGCTGATATGTAATTAAAAAAGAAACTGTTTGGAAGGGAAAAAAATTATCAAATCATTTTTTTAAGTAGTTATTACAGCAATTTCAGTTAAATTTGTTATCTCACTAAAATACATTTTTCCTGTTCTTTTGTTTGAGTTTATTTAAGTTAATTTCAAAGCTTGTTTATTATAACCTAAATTGTATAAGAACATAATAAAACTGATCATATTTGGATCTCATGAAAGTTCCTTGTTAGAATAAATTAAATTCGATTACAACTTATTAGTAGTAGATTATAATATTTCAATTTGACTGATAGTTGATATAAGAGGTTTCTTGATTATGTATGACAGGTTTAGTTTGAAGGAAAATTCTGTTTTTTTTTTTTTACATTTTGTTTAGATTTTTTTGAGTAGCTTTTACATTAATGCGAAAATGAATACACATTTTCTATGTAAAATTAATATTCTTTTACTCGTTTTAATATTTCGGTCATTGGAGTTTTATATTCTGAATGACTCGAGTCAATAAAAACTCTAGTTTTATCTTCACCCGAGTGGCATTCGTGTGAGAAAGTTACCAGTACCGAGTGACTCGAATGAAAAAAAATGAGTCTCATCACTAGGCAGCGGCATCTGGGGGCCTGATCATACAACCATTTTAAGACATTTAAAGATTATCTTACAAGTTATTGAAAAACATTTAAAAAAGGGTGTTTTGCAGCCAAGTCATCACATTTAAGGAATAAAATTAAAAAAAATTAATGGTGCTAGTTCTTCTGGGTCGATGATATCAATGGGCGATCCGCAAAGCTCGATTCCCGGCCCATTCCTTTTTCTCGTTTATATTAATAATTTACCCTACTTAGTAGGAAAAAAACATGACATAGTGTTGTTTGCCGATAATACTTGATTAATCTTTAAAATCAAGCGACGTCGAAATGAGATAATGTCAGAAATAGTTGGTTCTAGACTAGACAGTCACATTTTCCTTAGCGATAGCGAAGTTAAATAAATCCAAAATGTATGGAAGTGAAATAAGCCTTTATCAATCAAACGATCGTTAAGTGGCAGACAATATCAAATCGCGTAACGAAACGATGACGAAACCGAATGACTCGTTCAATATTTCCATACAAATGCGTAGAAAAGTGGCGCTCTTGACATGCGAAATCGTTGAGATATCGAATCGATTGATCGACAACTTAGCGAACGCTTGGATCCTGTAGAAAAGCAAAAAAAAATTAAAAATGTCTGATTGTTATTTAGGCTGTTGGTGTAGTTTACATCAATTTACGCGTTTCTTTTGTTTTTTTAAATAAAAATGCATACATTGCGTTTGCTTCCGGCGGCACGTAATGAAAGTGTGTGGTTACGTCGTCAAAGAAGATATAATTACCGGTAAAAAATGGAAAGAGTGGAAGATATGCCGGAGATACTATTTATGGAGTATTTTCGTTTAAATAAAAGTGTTTTTCGACGGCTTTGTGATGATTTGCCTGTTCACTAAGGGATCTATAGAAATCTGTTTAGAAATGAAGGTAACATAACTCAAAGTTTACAATTTGCAAAACTTCTATTAATGTAATTGACAAAAGTACGTTTAATTTCAAAATAAAAATATCATTTTATTTACCGACTTAGTGCTCACTGCTCTCAGTTTTATAGCTACCGGATCCTATCAGAGAATAGCAGGTCTGCAGTGAGTCAACAAATAACGCAAAGAACAACAAGTCGGTGTGTCCGGCAAATCATTGATGCCATCAACCATCCGGTAATCATGAGCAAGTGGATTCCATTTCCAAAAACATTACAATAAAGATGTTTGATCAAAGAACAGTAAGTGATTAATGCTTGGCTTTCTATGTAACAGTGAGCTAAAAAATCTATAAATATGATTTTATACATATCTGACACCTATTTTATGTCTATACAATATTTTTATATGGTTGTGAAAAATATTTTTGTATGCTTTCAACTATAAAATCATTGTTATAATTAAGTATTTATTATCTAACAGTCTCCATTGCAAAAATCTTCATTTACAGATTTCAAAGGGAGTATAATTATATAGGGAGCCAGGAGTAATAGGATGTATTGATTGCACCCACATTGCAATTGTGAAACCTGCTGAGGAAGAGCATGCTTTCTTTAATAGGAAAGAATATCATTCTCTAAATGTTCAAATGGTTTGTATTCCAATCTTATCATATTTTTAAATCTATGAAATATAATTCGGTTATATTTGTTAATAATATACATCAGTATGCAAAATAGGCAAGAAATAGTATTACTATAGGTATAATATATTTATTATTTATTTTTGACTTATTTGTTATAGATACGTAATTTATTCATATGAATTTTATAATTATTTCTCCAGAATGTCCCGTAAAGTGGCAGATAGAGAAATAGAACAACTTCTGGCGACTTTAGAAGATGGAAATATTTCTGAGGATGGCTTAGAAGATGAAAGTGAAGATGAAGAAACCTTTTTCGCTAATGCAAGAGAAATGATTCGAGAGTTGGAAGACGAGGATGCAGAGAATCATGAAGATCCTACCTATTGTGATCCACCACTGGTTCAAGATTTGCCTGGCCCATCAAGTCAAATTATTAGTTCATTACCCATGCAAGAAGGTCATGAACATATGTAGAGTTTGATAAAAGGAAACTCATTTGGAAAAAAGACAGTTTGTTGTATGACGAATCGAAAATAATTCACCAACCAAGCACAACAGACTCTGCTATAACTGAACTTGATACACCATATAAATGTTTTTTGCACAACTTCACACCTGAGTTTCTTCAAAAAATTGTTGATGAAACCAACTTATATGCAGTACATAAAAACCCTTCAATATCTTTCTCTATTACTGTTGGCGAGTTAAAAAAATTCATAGGAATTCTTTTATTTATGTCAGTAGAGCATTTCCCTAGTGTACGTTCATACTGGCATTCCAAGTTTGGGTACGATCCTGTAAAGAGCGCAATGACGGTAAATCGGTTTGAGATGATTAGGAGCTACTTACATTTCAACGATAATAATAATCATCTTCCGCGAGACCAATCCGATCACGATCGCCTCCATAAGATTCGACCTGTGATAGAACAGCTAAATACGACATTTTCATCAGTTGCAAAAGACCAACGACTTTCGATAGATGAGCAGATGTGTTCAACTAAAATTGCACATTTCCTAAAGCAATATTTAACAAATAAACCTCACAAATGGGGTTATAAGCTTTTTGTTCTCTGTAATCTTATGGGATATGCTTACAGATTTGAGGTCTATTCTGGTCAAGAAGAAAAAAAAAGACAAACCAGCCGATGAGCCTGATCTCGGAATAACAAATAACGTCGTTATACGTTTGGCGAGAGCTATACCAAGGATGAACAATCATATTGTATTCTTCGATAATTTTTACACATCCCTGCCTTTGGTAAATTATTTGAATAAACAGGGTATACAATGTGTCGAAACTATTCAGCAAAACAGGCTACCGAATTGTCGACTTCCTGACAAAAAGGAACTTATGAAAACTTCTGTTCCGAGAGGTACATATGAGGAACGCGTTTCCCATTCAGATGGAGTAGACTTTTCGGCCACTGCGTGAAAAGATAATAAAGTCGTCACTCTTTTATCGACTTACGTTGGCGCCGAGCCTGTAGGAAAAATTTCAAGATACGATAAGAAGGCCAAACAAAAAATTGACATCCCTTGTCCCAAAATTGTGCAAGAGTACAATATGCATATGGGCGGAGTCGATCTGATGGATAGCTTTTTAGGACGCTATCGGATTCGAATAAAGAGCCGGAAATGGTATTTACGCTTGTTTTATCACCTTCTGGACCTCACTACAATCAACTCATGGGTGCTTATGAAAAAAAATCTAATTGCTAAAGGTGTATCAAAAAAGCAACTGCTCAGTCTTGGGGAGTTTCGTAATTGTTTGGCAGACACACTGTGTAATATAGGTATGTCTGGTGGTAGTAAAAGAGGGCGCCCTAGTACTTCCCATCTAGAACACGAGCTTCAAATAAAAAAGCAAAAAGGTCCGCAACATACGCTCCCATCAAAAGATGTGCGCGTAGATGGATTTGAACATTGGCCTGTATTTGCCAATCGATTACGGTGCAAGATGCCCAATTGTAAGGGCACCACACAATGGTCGTGTACCAAATGTAATGTACCGTTGTGTCTAAATCAGAGAAATAACTGTTTCAAAGATTTTCATTCACTGCAGTAAGCCTAATTCGAAGATAATCGTTTATACGATAGTACTTTTGCTACATTTTTAATAGTAACTGTAATGCATACTGATGTAGATATAAATCAGTAAAAAAAAGTAAAAAAAACTTTTTCATAAAAATATACTTTTTAGAATAAAAAAAATTTTTTCTTTATTTTTCCCTTAATCTATGTTTAATTATCTACCTGTTTCAATTTATGGTATCTAAAAAGGAAAAATCATGCATTTAAGGGTTAAGGTATGTGATCAATACTTAAAAATAAAAAACGTGAATAGTAAGTTTGGTGGAGCAACACATGATTCTTACATACGGTCATCGAGTCTTCTTGAATCCTACATAAGTCATCTTCATGATAATGGAGAACATGTTTGGTTACTTGGTATGTAAGATATTAAAAATATCTTATTCGTAGTACTATTTTACTAAGTAATCTTTTCTCATTTAAAACTTCTTGCTTTCAGGAGATTCAGGGTATCCACAACGGCCTGGCTTATGACGCCAATACTGAATGCTCCACAGGAGTCTCGAGAGGAAGTGTATACCACACGTCATGTGCAAGCCAGAACATGCATTGAGCGCTGTTTCGGATTACTTAAAACACGTTGGAGGTGTTTACTTCGTGACAGAGTCCTCCATTATCATCCCAAACTTAATAGCAAAATAACATTTGCATGTTGTGTGCTACACAACATCTCAGTACATGCACATGCATTACCAGCCCAAGTAATATCCCTGTTGCACCGGACGATAATGATGACTTAAATACACAAACTAGCATCTCAATAGACAATCAAAGTGAACTAATCAAAGGCAGGGCAATGCTTAATTATTTAATAAGTAGGCTGTAGATGAAGAAAGCAATAGTTATTATACATATATATTACACAATTAAATAACCATTCTTATGCCTTTGTCACTACTTATTTAAGGATAGCAGTGTGTGCAACACCCTTCCTTCTTCCTTCCATATGTACCCTTTCAGGCCTTATCTCTGTATTTTCATTTTTCTCTTCATATCATGATTCACTCCAACCATTTTAAATGTGTTATGAAAATAAAAAATAATTATAATTTTCTAATTTATTGTCTTACCAAACTTTATTGCCTTAATGGCCTTCTTAAATAAATAACTTAATAATATCTAGGTACAAACACTTATGTTGTAACTATAAAATAAAAAATAGTCAGACTTAAAGTTAATAATTTAAACTTTATTTACTAAAACAGGCGAACTGACCCTACATTCATACTATGGAAGAAATTGAATTGCCATAGAATATCATTTCAAGCAACAATCTTGTTGATAAAGTATTTGTTAACTGCCTAGCCAATGGAAATCATCAGGGGATGAAAGACAAAGCAATCTCGCACCTGTTAACAAAGATGTTGAAAAGGTTAATGATGATATAGTTACTAAACTTCCCGGAGAGTACAAAATCTGCTATAGGCATGATTCAATGAAAGTTCAACGTGCAAGAGCAATCGAATTTAGAACAGAATTCCTTAATAGTGTCAACATTTCAGACTTGCCACACACGAATTAAAATAGAAAAAAACAATCGTTAATAATGTTGCTGCGTAATTGACGTATCAGAAATACTTTACAATGTTTTAAGACTCATTGTAAGAAGTCTGTGCAATCACAGCAAAAATTGTTACTGGAGAACAATCCAGCAAAGAAGTACGTATACCAAGGAAAACCCTTGACTCATAAAAAAGACAATTGGAATCCACCATGCGGCGTCACCAGTTTCCCGTTAGATTTGCATTTGCAATGACTGTCCACAAATCACAAAGACTAACATTCGAATCTGTTGGGGTTGACTTAAAGTCCAGTCCAGTCTTCATGCATGGCATGTTATATGTAGCATTTTCAAGAGATAAGCGACCGCGAGTACGTTAAAAGTCCTTCTTCCAAATGAACATTGTATCCCCACCTAAATACTTTGTTTAAAATCCTTACTTCCTTACTAATTCTTACTATCCTTATAATATTACTTTACTAATAGTATAAACGCGAAAGTTTTTATGTATGGAGAGATGTTTGTTACTCTTTCACGCAAAAACTACTAAATCTATTTTAATAAAACTTTACAATAATATAAGTGTCAACTAAGTAGGAAAAAATTCAGACATCTGCGAGATATTCTGGTGTATAATAAAAAAAGTCTTTGTTAATTCCCTTTGACCACGCAGGCGAGGCAGCGACTAACAGCTAGTAGTATATAAGCGTTTGACTACGACAAACAGCAGTCTCAACAACAATCTAGTGTAGTACTAGATTTCTGTTGAGACATTTAGAAAACCGTTTATTAACCGCGGTGCTTAGGCGACGCTTGTATCGTGACCATGAATTGGATTAAAAAAAAGTGTGACACAGATAAATATTATATAGATAAGAAATAAATCAATATTCATAGGAAAACAATGGTGTATGCTATAAGTCAGGTGTGCGTATTTATAACGATTTTGCAAGAAGTTTTTTCATAAGCAAACAATAAGCCTTATGCAAGATTTTATGAACGAATATAAAAAAAGAAATTTTACAAATACAGAGCAGTCAAAATTAGTTAGCTACTTTAGTGAATCAATTTAATATCAGTTCTTATACATTAAATAAGCGCGTAAACATAATTAATATTTACATTCAAATAGAAATGTGCCTGCAACAGCTTTACAGTAAAATAACGACGTTAGAAAACGCTATTACATTCTCCAACTTAGGCATTGTACATCCTAGTATAATAGCTCCACACTATTTGCTAGAAGAACTTGTTCGAATAAAAAAGAAATTAAATTTCACTTACCATATGAGGCCTATCTTAGCTAACATTCATTCGTTAGAAAAAAGTATAACTATAAAAGCATATAGCACAAATGAAATGTTAAACTTCATTTTAGAAATCCCGCTTATAGCAAATCATCCTTATAACTTAATTCATCTTTACTCCATTCCTAACGATAACGACATGGTCCTTATCCCTAAGAACCCTTTCCTTATCCCAATGAGCCCTGCGCACATATAACAAGCGAAGATGTGATATGTAAACACATCGACTGGCAATCACTCTACGATTCACAAGACTGCATCGCACAACTTATTCAACATAGAAAACCACATAACTGCACGTATGCAAAAGCGTCATACAATAATAGTATTATACAACAAATCCACGAAAATTGTTGGATAGCTATTTTGAAAAATTATTAAAACAATGTGTGGGAATGATGTTCAATATCAAAGATCTATTGGAATATCACTTATAACAGTTACGAACAAGTGCAGTTTCAATTTTGGGAAGAACACTCGAAACTCACAACAAATATGTAAATATTAAGGAGACCATTCCTTTACCAAGATTGTACGAATCTGCGAATAACTCTCACATTAAAGTCGAGATACAAAATGTTCAACTGGATCAATTAGACAAAATATTACAGAAAAGCGAAGAAATTAAAGAAAATTTAGGAATATCATTAATATCAAATAAACCAAGCTGGTCTACAGTGAGCCTGTACATCATTCTCGGTTCCGGTAGCAGCATCGCATTGTACATATATTGGAAAAGGAAACGCACAGTATCATCGCACCAACAATCGGAAGAACTCCAGCTGCAGCCGACAGGGTCTACGCAGCCAGCGTCTTCGGTGCGCCTCACACTTAAGGGGGGAGGAGTTACGTCACCATAACAAACTCTATCCCAAGAACGCGTTATCACCAGGAAGCGATACGGCGAAAGCGGACGGTGTAACGATTTCAGAGCCCAATTAAGAAATCAATGTTTATATAGGTGTAATGATTTCAGCATCCCGTAGATCGGACTGTGTGAAGCTTTGTATCCCCACCCAAATATATCATGTTCAAAATAGTATAAATAAGATATCCATTGTTAGATAAGGCAGTTGTAAGCTACCAGTTGTATTGTTAGGTTTATATATAAAATAAAGTTTTTTTAAACTGTTCCTGCGACCTCTCACTTAACTCACGCAGTACAGTTTTTTATATCACAAAACTTACCTTTGATATAGACAGAGCCTGATGAGAAAGGGCAGAAACGTCTTGTGAAAGACTTTATAAATAGAGACTATATCTCAGGTTTTGTTTCGTTATCCACTTTTTTATTTTTCGAATTCAAATATTGTGTAAAAAAATATAGTAACCTCATTATGATGATGATTATGTAGGGTTTTTTAATTTATTCATTGTGAATCCATGCCACAGAAATCTAAAAACTAAGGCAGAAGGAGTTAAAACGATGCATTAATTAATAATTGTTTAATAAACAATTACTTATACATAATATATTCCTTATGGCGTCTGCCATTACTGCAACGGCTAGTTAACTACCGCGCTCAATGTCAATGCTTGTGCCGCTATAATTCTGAGACGCCGAAACTACCTTATTACTACTACTCATTTGTAGACTTAGTTGAACTAACAAACTGTTATTATTTTATTATTTTCATTACTGTCTGTATCAGTTGTGGTGCTATTTATTAACAATCACTTGTATGAACGTGCGGCTTCTTCAGTATTTTCGTTCACAGAGATACTTCAATGATATGTAATTTAAAAGTAGAAGGGGCAGAATGCGTTAAAAACAGTTTCCCTGTTAACAACTTATAGGAAGTCAGTTCTAATACGTCCAGATATTTCATATGGCGTTTGTTATTTAAATCAATTTAATAAGTGTTTCAATTATATTCATTGGAATCATCTTAAGAGAATTTTAAAATATTTACAAAAATTTTAACCTTATAGCTTGATGTAGAAAAAAGATAACTGTGATTTGGAGGGCTTTGTAGAAGCGGACTCAGGTAATACAATAGATAAGAAGTCCTACACAAAATGTGGCTTTCTTAATACAAAAACAGCAAACCGTGGCATTATCCAGTACTGAATCAATGTATGCAATAACTGCGGTAGGGCCACGCAACAGTCTTCGCTGTTGTACAAATGGGTTGTCCGGGAAAGTACCGCGGTCTCACAGATGACCAGCGTGAAGTAGAAGTGTTACACTTCTGCGTATGGTCTAGTGAGTGAGGTTTGGTTGGAGGTGAGGGACCACATTATTAAAAGGTGGCAACGCATCTGCAACCTCACGGGTGTTGTAAGTGTTCAAGGGCGGCTATCTTCCCACATAAGAAATGTGTTTGGACGGTTATTGTCTGAAATTGTTGGTTTTTCTGTTATTATACAGCGTGTCGTTACCATCGCGACAATAAATGAACAAACATATAGGGGATAACTTTTTAAAGTTGTATTAAACATTTAAATATTTTAAACATCAATATTTACAGAGTTATTAAATTTTCCAAAACAAAGAATTTTAGAACACCCTTACCTATAAAAGCGTAACGTAAAGTTCATTTGTAAAGGTCACAAAGCATATGAATGGGTTGAATGAATTTAAAAGAGACAAAACATACTGTTAGAAGGAGAGGCTTGTAATGCGACGCTGTGGCGCGAGTTCTATAGGAGGTTACAAATTTTGTTTCTTTTTTACTTAATTAGTTTGTTAGAAAAATATTTTTTTTAATTTATGGATTTTGTTTAACGTTAATATTTTTTATGATTATTGGCAAGTAGCGTTAGACGTGTCTTCATTTATTGTCGCGATGGTAACGACACGCTATATAATGATAATCGACACGATATATAATGATAATCAACACGAGATGACGTACGAGGATTCTTCAAAAACGTCATCGCGAAATCTTGAAGTAAATCTCGTGTTCGTGAAGGAAGCCATTCCGAAGTCTCCGGTAACGATGCTGCCTATACTTGTAAACTTGTTCTTAGACAATGACAAACATCACAATGTGTATATTTGTTCTTCTTCTTATAAGAAAACATCTCCTTGTCTAATGGATGTGAAGTTGCATGATTACAACTTTAAATTTAAATTAGATACAGGTTCTGAGAATACAACTAATAATAAAAGATTTAGAATTATTAAAATTAACGGATGTTGTTAATTGAAAATAGTAATGTATGTTTTATGATCAGTCAACCTCAAGGCCTGTAGGAATCTTTAAAAACATTAAAATGAATTTAAATAATATTGAACAATATGTGAATTTATTTGTAGTTGAAAATAATAAACCTAGAATTTTAGGTCGAGATATGTTGGACACATTTGGCATGTGGCCTTTGCAATGAAATGTGGATATGATTGAGGATTTAACGGAGAAAATGAAAATGAAATATTCTGAGGTATTTAGGTGGTATGCCCCAGGGGTGGGGCAATTTTACCAGTAAGACAGATTCCATTTGCTTTAAAAGAAAAAGTTAGTCTTGAAATTAAAAGATTATTATATAATAATCGAATGGAGCCTGTTGAATATAGTGCGTGGGGAACTCCTGCAGTACCCATATTAAAATCTGATGGGTCTGTCCGTCTATGTGGTGATTACAAAGTAACATTAAATTCTCACTTTGAGATCGATCACTTCTCTTTGCCTCATGTGGACAATAGCTTAAATAAATTAAGGGTCACCACCCCTTAATTTATTTAAGGTATTGTCCTAAGGTATTGTATTTTATTGTGAATTGGATTTGAAGGAGGCATACTTACAAGCCCCATTAAATAAAGAGTCTCAGGAGCTCACTGTTATTGTGACGGATGAGGGAATTTTAAAGTTTAAGTATCTTTCTTATGGTGTTAGCACAGGGCCAGGATCTTTTCGAAGACTTATGTCACAAAAGCTATCAGAGTCCAAATGTTATTGTTTTTATTGACAATATTTATATCTGTGGTAAAAATTATATTGATGTGTTTAAAACATTAGAATCAGTGTTATCTAGACTAAAAGAATGTGAATTAAAATTAAAGCCACAAAAATGAAATTTTTTTCATATTAGTATTGATGTTTTTGGATATAGAATTAGTAAAGAGGGTATTCATATAATCAAAGAAAATATTGAACCTATTATTAGTTACAAAACATTACCAATTTTACGTTCACAACTATTATAAGTCCTTTATATGAGTGTACCAAAAAAGGCAATTTTGTCTGGACCAATGAATGCCAAAAAGCTTTTGAGTTGGTAAAATTAAAATTAGCATCTGCTAAGAATCTAAATCATTATAACCCTGAATTACCATTGATACTCACTTGTGATGCGTCAAACTATGGATTAGGGGCTATCCTATCTAAGGGCGCTTTTAGTGTCACGCGGATTTGCTCACGCACGCGGGATTGGACCGCATGCGTAGCATCCGCAAAGAACAATTTCATATAGGTATCTATTGTAAAGCGTGATAAACGCACGCGGGACGCGGGGCGCTGTGCGGGGCGTCACCCCGGTGCGGGGTATCCGCATGCGTAAGCGCTGCCTACAACTTCAGTGCCCATTTTAGAGTCGAGCGGGGCGCACGCGCCGTATTGTACTACCGAAATGAAAATCGATACAGAACGAGTAATCATTGAAGTTCATCTGCGGCCCGTTTTGTGGGATAAACGCAATGAATTATACAAAAACAGGGACGCGAGGGAGGCTGCATGGAGAGATATTTTGAAGGAATTGGCACCTAACTACGAAAATTTGAGCGAAGAGGAAAGAAAAGAGGCGGGTATGTGTTTGGTTCATTATTTTATTTATACAAGCATCATTACTTTATTAATATAAGCATAATTATTTAATTCACAAATAACATCAAAAACCTTCTAAAACCTTTTGAGTTTAGTTAATTAATTATATATCGGTGTTGCCAGGAGACTTTTCCTTCATTGATAAAGTAATCTGCAAATATATCTCTGATATTACTTGCCGACGTATTACTACTTTCAGTCTGCTGCCTGGGTAGTGGTCCCGTAAAACCATTTGTGACAAATGTATGGCTGACCTTGTAGCCATCCCGTTTCCTTATGAAATTGTGAAGTACACATGCCGTCTTGACTATTAATTGTGCTAGATCTAACTTGACATTCATGGATCTGTGAAATATTCTAAATTTATTTGACATAATTCCAAAAGTGCATTCTATGTACCTTCTAGCTCTGGACAGACGGTAATTAAATATTTTCTTTTTGTAAGGTAAATTATCACGAGCATAAGGCCGCATCACATGTGATGATAAACCAAATGCCTCGTCTCCCACTATCACGAACGGCAACTTTGCTCTTACACTAGATGGATAAGCTACTTCGGGGCAAATAATAGGCAACTCTTGCGGGTCAGGGATACCCAACGTGTTACTTTCCAGTTTCGTATACAATTGACTCCTTCTAAAGATGGTTGAATCGGCGTTGCTTCCACTGGTACCGACATTAATATATGTAAAATTATAATCAGCATCACACATTGCGAGGAGCACTACAGAATAATATTTCTTATAATTAAAATATAGTGATCCACTGTGCGGCGGCCGAATCACTCTTATATGTTTTCCATCAATTGCACCCAAGCAATTAGGAAAATTTGTATATGTGAGAAATCCCTCTGCGATTTCTTTCCATTTGATCCCATTAAGCTGTGGAATACATTCAGACTTTAGTTCAATCCATATTATGTAACAAACTTGTCTTACTATTTCGCTAATTGTTGCAATTCCAATCACATAGGAATAGTGTAGATCAGTGAATGTATTACCAGTTGCCAAATATCTGAAAACAAAAACAATATATTAATAATATGATAACATAATATATTAATAATGCTGACATCAGACATAAGACAGCATGCACCGCTCGAATTTTACTTCAGAAGAAGAAAAATAAATACCCATAAGGTGAAAGGGCACGGAAGTAGCTAGCGCTAGAAGTTTTTAATTCGTTTTAACTACAGTACTATAGCTACGTTAGATTTCTATGATTTGCCGAAAATTTTATCATAGGGGGGTATTTATGCAGTTATGATTTCATATGAAAAGTTCGAAGTATAGTTATGTATCTCATATCTGCTAAAAGTGGCCACTTTTAGCAGATTTGAGACACATAACTATGCTGTAAATATTTTATAAGAAATCTTCTCTGTATAAATTAACCCCTATGGTAAAATTTCCGGCAAATGAAAGGAATCTAATAAATATATATAATATAATATAATGAAATATCGTTTATTTCAGGCAATATTTACATTACAAGATGTCCTCCTTCCGGAAGTTTTCACCTTAATTTTGATGATGGCAAATTTTACTGTAACAAATAAACAAATTGCCCGATTCAATCCGGTGTTTTTCCAAAAAATCCTTAAATGAAGTTCTAATTATTTTTGTAAAAAATGAATTATTTCGTCGATGTCTGCGCCGCGCCGCCCCGGCCGCGCCGTCTGCGTCTAGTATAAGATTCACTTTGCGCTATCGTTCGCGGCGAAATTGACCGGCCTGCGCCGGCCCGCCGTTTGCGTTGCGCCTAAGGGTACTTTTCCTTCAACTGCGGCCTTATTTTTCCACTCTGTATAGGTATATATATATTGCTTGATTTATCTAATGCTTCATGAGACAGTGTAAAGTTGACAACATGTGTGAATTAAGGAGGGCCTTTAATCGAATGCAGTTAAATTTCCAACTAATATCAGATTTGTACACACGGCCACAGATCAAGCTTCCCAAAACCAGTATAAACAGGACTCATGCGTTGTTTATTATCGTAGACGACTCGGCGCCCGGCGAGGCCCTAGCAAGTTCCGTTTATTGGTACTGGTTTTGGGTAACTTGATCTGAAACTGTGTGTACTTTTGCCACTTACTTATTATATTTTGTCATTCAGACAAGAAAATACAACAACGCTGGCGAACAGCAAGGGACACTTACCAGAAAGGCAAGATATCTGAAAAAAATCAGCCATCCGGCTCTGGGAGTAAGAAGAAGAAGAAGAAATATTCTTACTATGACATTTTGACTTTCTTAGACAGTACAACGGAAACTGCTGGAGAAGAGTCACTCTGTGAAGAAATGTCTGAACAAAGTAATTTAGAAACACCTAATGAGTCCACGCAACCAGATACTTCACGTCAAGAAAGTTCTCACCCAACATCAAAACAAAAACAAGTAAAATCTAAAAAGCAAGCACCATCTGAATTTGAGGCACAGTTATTAGAATGCTTAAAGTCTAATCAACTGGAGCTAGAAAGTGAGGATTTGGCTTTCTTTCAGTCTCTGCAGCCTTCATTAAAAAGATTCACTAGATATCAAAAACTAATGTTCAGAAAAAAGTGTTAAATATAGTTATGGAAATGGAAAGTCAAACACAACCTGCATACTACAGTCCCATACCTACAACAAATTCTAGTGCTTTTACTGAGCTTGACAGTTTGTCACCGATAAATCAAGATTACCAAACCAATAGTATAATCCAGGATACTTCGAGTCTTAACGACAATGCTATTAGTTCTGCTGCAGTGAATGACAATGAAACTCTTATTTCGACTGAAAGCGGCCTGTTTAATATCACGTCTTATGACGTAATTTATACCCCAGCAACAACATCATCTACAGGCGAAAGTAATGTCAACGCTCAGGATACAAATTTACAAAGAAATGAATGATGTAAAATTTGATTTTTTAATTTATGAATAAAACTCTTTTTATTAAAATGAGTACGATTAACTTTTTTTTCTCCAGTTTCTCTCTAATTGTTTGTTTAGTCATATGAGTGCGGTTGTACACACGGCACAGATCAAGTTACTCAAATCCAGTATAAGCGGGACTCCGACGGGTTACCTAAGTATGATAATACGCAAGGCGCGAGTTCCATTTATGCTGGTTTTGGGTAACTTGATCTGTGGCCATGTGTACTTTATCAGATAAAAAAAAGGATTGTGTATGTAGGTTGAACGTACCAATCCCAAACCAATTAAGGGCTTTTTTTGACTTTAAATTACTGTCATGTGCAAACCTATAACTTTTATCTATATTATAATAAGTAGCGTGTGATGAAAGGTAGGAATGATTCCACTTTAATGGCGACATTTTATGAGTGAAATAATCTTATTTAATGAAATTTCAACATGAAATTGAATGAAATTATGAACAATGAAATTTCAGAGTACATGACAAAATTTTTTTTTGCACATGTAAATTTACACATGACAGTAATTTGAAGTCAAAAAACGTTTATCCTACCTGTTCAAATCCCTTTCCACTAAATCATAGCAGGAAATTAAATATTTAAAATTTAAA